GCAGATCGCAGCCCCCCAGGGATGGCGAGGTCTAATTTGAATCCGCGCGTGGCCCTCACTGTGCTGGGCCCCCCAGCAGGCCTCGAAAATGGCGACAGTTTCGCAGATCGCAGCCCCCCAGGGATGGGAGGTCTAATTTGAATCCGCGCGTGGCCCTCACTGTGCTGGGCCCCCCAGCAGGCCTCGAAAATGGCGACAGTTTCGCAGATCGCAGCCCCCCAGGGATGGCGAGGTCTAATTTGAATCCGCGCGTGGCCCTCACTGTGCTGGGCCCCCCAGCAGGCCTCGAAAGTGGCGACAGTTTCGCAGATCGCAGCCCCCCAGGGATGGCGAGGTCTAATTTGAATCCGCGCGTGGCCCTCACTGTGCTGGGCCCCCCAGCAGGCCTCGAAAATGGCGACAGTTTCGCAGATCGCAGCCCCCCAGGGATGGCGAGGTCTAATTTGAATCCGCGCGTGGCCCTCACTGTGCTGGGCCCCCCAGCAGGCCTCGAAAATGGCGACAGTTTCACAGATCGCAGCCCCCCAGGGATGGCGAGGTCTAATTTGAATCCGCGCGTGGCCCTCACTGTGCTGGGCCCCCCAGCAGGCCTCGAAAGTGGCGACAGTTTCGCAGATCGCAGCCCCCCAGGGATGGCGAGGTCTAATTTGAATCCGCCGTGGCCCTCACTGTGCTGGGCCCCCCAGCAGGCTCGAAAATGGCGACAGTTTCGCAGATCGCAGCCCCCCAGGGATGGCGAGGTCTAATTTGGGTCCGCCCGCCCTCACTGTGCTGGGCCCCCCAGCAGGCCTCGAAAATGGCGACAGTTTCGCAGATCGCAGCCCCCCAGGGATGGCGAGGTCTAATTTGGGTCCGCCCGTGGCCCTCACTGTGCTGGGCCCCCCAGCAGGCCTCGAAAGTGGCGACAGTTTCACAGATCGCAGCCCCCCAGGGATGGCGAGGTTTAATTTGGGTCCGCCCGTGGCCCTCATTGTGCTGGGCCCCCCAGCAGGCCTCGAAAATGGCGACAGTTTCGCAGATCGCAGCCCCCCAGGGATGGCGAGGTTCAATTTGGGTCCGCCCGTGGCCCTCACTGCGCCGGGCCCCCCAGCAGGCCTCGAAAGTGGCGACAGTTTCACAGATCGCAGCCCCCCGCAGGCAAGACAGAAAGAGGCAGGACAGAGGCGGGAGGCGGGAGGAGGAAGGACGCGACCACACTGCTCTATTCCAAACGAATACCCAACCAAGGAGGGTTGGGGGGAACAAATGGAATCCAAGAGCCTTCTTTGGAAGTGTGCATGGTGATCACATGCGGCAGAGAAATCGGATTCGCAAGTGCCGCACCCTTATCAAAGCGCATACCTTTATACTCACGCAAGAAACACATGGAACAGATGCTGACTTCGAGACCCTGCGCAGGGAATATCCCATGCACACGCACTTCGGCACGTTTTGTGAGAACCCGAATGCTGGTGGAGCTACGATCAGCGTGGCCAACTCTGTCCTTGCCAACTTCACGAATGTGGAGCATTGCGAGCATGTGCGCGTCCGTCTCCTCTCTCTTTCTCTCCAAGGACCTCAGGGTGACCTCAAAGTGCACAATATCCACCTCGATCCCACTCTCAATGATGCTGAGAAGTCTTCTGTTCTCGAGAAAATCGCAGAGACCCTCCCTCACAGCAGCTCGTGTTTGTCCTTCCTTGCAGGCAGTTCTAACTCCCTAGAATCAGGAGAGACCCGAGTCAGGACTGATGGTGAGTATCAGCGCCCTGAACGTCCTGCTCTTCTTCGGCGCTTTCGCGAGCTCTTCCCGACTGCGCTCGAGCTGGCGCAAGACGAGCCCACGCATAGGACTGGGGACATTGGGGAAGGTATTCAGTCTCTGGGACGCATTGATCGCATATATATATATATATACTTTTGCTGTCACGGCTACAGTCTTGGAGGCCAAGCCTACCGCTGGAATCATTGGGCGCGTCTTGCAAGCTTGTGAGCCGAGTGACCATGTTCTTGTCTTCGTTTTTCTCCAGGGCTTCGGCCCCAGGCCAGTGTTCCACCTTGGGTGACCGCTCACCCTGAATTGGCACAGCTGGTGGATGAAGCTCGGGCTCAAATCGACCTCTCCACGGACCCCTCCTCGCTCTAGAAGAGATCAACGAGTGCATGCATATAGCGACAGCGGAAATCAAGTAACGCATTTACCGATACGGCGTACAAGCTGATACTCACCGTCTCATGGTTTGTTTAAAATGCACGCGTGCCAGTACGATCGGACAAATCCACATCATACGCAAGTGTGCACGTGCACACGACCAAATCGCACAGTTCACAGATGATCAGCACGAGCACATCATAGATCAGGCGAGGCTCCACGAGCACGTCCGCATCATACAAGAGCGCATCCCGGTTCTCGAGCTCCGTGAGCACGAGCAGCCCTCAGAGTACCAGTACGACGACGAGCGCGCAGTCAAGCTGCACAAACTTTTGAAGGCCTGGCCTCCCAAGCATGGACGAATTTCGCTCGTAGGTATTCTGGACAATCAAGGGCGCGCGCCCACCAGTTTAGAGGACAGTGCCGCCCGACTTGCTGAGCATTGGGGCCGCGTGCACACCGCCGTTGATGCGCCGAACGTGCCCCCGCGCATTCCAGAGATGCCACTAGCTCGCTGCCAGAATGTTTCTCCTGGTGCAACTGGATTGTTCCGCTCTTTGACATGCTCGGCTTTCTTCATCACAAGAAAGACACTGCGGCTGGCCCCGATGGCGCCCCGTACTCAGGCTGGGCAAAGTGTAGCATCGAGTGTAAGGAGATGCTTTACCAAGCTTATTTGAATTGTATGTCTGGACGCTCTCTTCCTGGAGGCTTCGACCATGGGGCCACGGTTTTCCTGGCCAAAAATCTCGAGGACGACTCTCTGAGAGACGCGCAAAGAAAAGCAAAGGAGACCCGTCCGTTATTCCTGGGCAATACTGATAACAAAACCTTCGCGTCGCTGCTGAGTATTCCTTTTGGACAACAGGCTCAGTTTTCTATGCGCAGAAATCAGACTGGGTTTATTCAAGGCGGGAGTATGCCAGACAACATAATGCTATAGAGTCGGACTTTTTGGAGCATGCAGTGTTTCAAGGCGCCGATCGAGCTGGCCTCTTTCTGCTCGACTTTGCCGCTGCTTTCCCGAGCCTAGCGCATGCGTGGATCCTGACCGTATCACAACATATGCGTATCCCAGAATATGTCGTAGACGCTGCTCAACAACTGCATCGTGATATTTACACAAGTATCAGACTAGGAGGAGGCACGTTGAGAGGCTACTATATCACACGTGGTATCAAACAGGGATGTCCATTATCTGGCGTACTATCTGCTTTCGCTGCTGATCCTATTTTCAGGTGCATGTACTCAGTTATGACACCCCTGGCTCGGCCTTTTGCATTCGCGGACGACATAGGCATTGTTTCTTGCGACCTTGTCCGCACGCCCCAAATCGTGCTGAGATTGCTCTCGCAGGCCGCGATGGTGATGGGCCTGATCTTGAACCCAGGCAAGTGCTCGCTGGTATTTGCTGCGCCATACTCCAGGAGAGATGTGTGTGAGATGTTTCGTGGATCTGGCATTAAAACTAGGCCGTATCGGGTCGACACCTTCGGCAAGTACCTGGGAGCTTACATCGGCCCGGAGGGGCCCACGGTGTCCTGGGGCGCTCCTGGGACCAAATACATCAAGCGAGTCTGGCACATAAAAGGTCGTTCCCTAGGGATATGTCAGAATACCATTGCCTACAACTCGCTGGCCTTCTCCGTGCTCAGCTTTGTGGGCCAGCTGTACCAGGCCCCACCGGCTGCGTTGAAAAAAAGAGAGAGAAGCCCACCAGCTTTTTGCATCCGCTCCCAGGCATTCCATTCCAGCCGATATTCTGAGGTCCCCGTCGGTGCTCTGTTTTCCCCACGACCCCAGAGACCTCCAGAGAGAAACCAGAGCCAGCATGTATCGGGCCGCCCTAAAATCTCAATGGTTCTCCGAAGTGCGAGGAAGGTTTGTTTGGCTGGAGGACGAGGAGATTGATCGGCTAGCAGTTCTACGTCGCACAGAGTGGTACGAATCCAGTATATGTTATTCATTGATTGCCGACTACAATCAGCTGACTGCTATTCCCATGATGATAGATGACCCCGACACTGACATGCTGCAGAAAAAAGTGAATACCCTACTGAGCCGTAGGCAGGCACCAATCTTTGCCAATTCTGCCCTCCTCCCTCGTATCAGACATTTTGTCAACACTGCCCAGCTTCCCAAGGCTGAGTTAATTGTTATGCGTATCAAGCTTGCTAACACTAAGCTTGCCCCATTTGTAGGCGCTGCTGTATTGAAAGGTATCTGTAATTCCTGGGCCACCAGTGCTAGGTATCGTCAGGGGCGGAATGCTTGTCTGTTCGGGTGCAGAGCCGGTGGAGGCGATCAAATCCTCCATTATTTTGACTGCCCATGTGCCCTCGAGCCACTCTGTCTTGTCCTGTCCCATCTTCCCGCTGACTTCCTCTCCTGGACGGCCCAGGACCGCTTGCTGCTTCCCAGTCATAATGCGTCCTCCTCTCCTGCCTTGTACTCTACCATGCTAGCTCACGATCTTTTATCCAGCACGTTCAATTCTCTCAGGAGCATGAAACGGTTCGGCCCTGAGTGCATACTCGCCTTTTACAAAGCTCGTGCGAGGGCTATCTCGAAGCGGAAACCTCACATTCGAGCTCTGTTTCAGCGGTGATGTGAGCTCCTGGGGATCTGGAGCTTGAAGGGGCTGCGCCATCGTCATCATCATCATCATCGGCATCCTAATCATAATCATCATCATCAGCAGCATCATCATCGTCATCATCATCATATCATAATTATCAATATCATTAGCAGCAGCAGCTTCCTCATCATCAGCATCATCATCCTTATCGGTAGCATGACCATCATCACCACCATCATCAGCATCAGCATCATCATCCTTCTCCTTCTCCTTATCCTCATCATTATCCATCTCCTCTGGCCACTGCATGGGGAGTCATGTTCCTGATCCCTTGGGAGATCCCGACGGATTCTGCATTCTGCTGGGAGAGGTCGCTGGCGTGATGGGTTCGAGGGCAGAGTGGCCGTCGGGGCCCAGGGATGCACGCACCGCAGGATGGACTGCGCCGTGTGCCTGGAACCGATCAGCGAAGGAGACGGGCTCGCCTCTGTCAGGACCGCCTGCGGGCACAGCTTCCACCTCCGATGCACGCTGAAGTGCCTGGAGCACGGCAGCGCAGACTGCCCACTCTGCCGGCAGCCGCTGGACGCGGAGCTGCACGCTGCCTTCCGGCCGTGGATGGCGCCTGGCCCGCGCCCTGGGCGCGGCCTGGGGCGGGCGGCCTGGCAGGGCGAGCTCGCGGAGAGCGCGGGGGGGGAGGCCCAGTTCGCGATGGAGGTCGCGGAGAGCGTGGGGCGGTATCTGGCCTACGAGGACCCGAGAGCCGACGCGGCGCCAGAGCTGGGCCCCGCGAGAAACACGGCGGGAGCTCTCCAGACCCCATCTTCCCGCGGCGTTTGTCGACCCGGATCGACCCGTTGTCGAGCAAGGGCAGGAGGAGGAGGAGGAGGAGGAGGAGGAGGAGGAGGAGGAGGAGGAGGAGGAGGAGGAGGAGGAGGAGGAGGAGGAGGAGGAGGAGGGAGGAGGGAGGAGGAGGAGGAGGAGGAGGAGGAGGAGGAGGAGGCGGAGGAGGAGGAGGAGGAGGAGGAGGAGCTCGGGGCCGGATCCCCCGGCAGCGCCGGGATCCGAAGGGCACCTGGCCTGCGAGTTCCGGACGGGGCCATAGGACGAGGATAAATCCGTTCCAGGGCGTTCCGGAACGCTCTCAGAGCGTTCCGGAAGGCTCTGAGCCGCCGGATCTCAGAGCTTCTCGACTTCTCCCGGGCGAATGGTAATGGAGAGTGGCCCACATGGGGGGTAAAGCAAACGGCCCCAAAGGGGCCCTTCAGGCCCCCTTTGGGGCACCTCCTGGCTCCAAAAGGGGGCCCAAAGGGCCCCTGTAGGGCCCTTGTCTTCACCCCCCGTCCGGGTCACCCGCCCAGGTGTCCTCACCTGACGTTGTCCTCGTCTTGGCCTTGTCCCAGAGGAGCTCGAGGAGTTTGGCAGCCAGGCGGGGGCGCAGCCTCCGCGTGGCGGCCCCGCCCCAGCCTTCTGGGCCAGCGCCTCGCCACCTGGGGCGGCGCCTGGGCGCGGCGCCGCGGGCGCCGCGCCCGCGGCCGACCTCGCAGGCGGCCTCGGGGAGCTCGGCCTCGGCGGCGCCGCGGCGCGCCGCCCGCCGCCGCACCGGCGCGCCGCGCTCGAGCACGCGGCGGCCGCCGCCCTCGCGGCCGCCGCCGCCCTCGCGCGGGAGCTCGAGCTCGATCGGGCCGCGCCGTCGAGCTGGGGCGGGCGGCGGGCCGGGCGGGCCCCCCTGCGGCTGGCCACGGCGCAGCGGGCGAGGAAGAGGTGCCGCTGCCTGGCCGTCGTCGCCGCGGCGGGATCCGCCTCGAGGCTCTGGCCAGAGGGTACCCCTCGAGAGGTCCGGGGAGCAGCAAATGTGGGCACCCTTATTACTACACGGGGGGCTGTAGTCCGGGGGAGGGTCCATGTGGGTACCGTTCTGTCGCCCCAGGCGCGGGGGGGCGCCGAGCTGGAGCTGGCGGCCGCCGCGGCAGCCGCCGAGACGCGGGCCGAGGCGCAGGCCGAGGTGCAGGCCGAGGCGCAGGCCGCGGCAGCGTCGCCCGCGCCGAGGCGAGACGGGGCCCGCGCGCCGGGGCGGCGGATCACGAACGCGCCGCTGAGGCGGCCGCCGGAGGGGCGGCGGGCCCGGGGGCTCCAATTCCCTCGGCCTGCACCTTCCGCGCGGCAGGCGCTGCGCTTGCTGCGGCCGTGGCCGCAGCGGCGGCTGCCATGGCCACCGCGGCCGCATCGCGGCGGCACCTTCCGCGCGGAGGGTGCGGAAGGTCCAGGTCGCGTGCGGGGGCCCCCCAGGCGGTGCGGCGAACACGCCGTGTGGTGAGCGCGGTGACCAGCGGGGATCCGGTGTGGGAGCACGGTTTTGGGGCTCGGGTCGTTCTCGGAGGGAGTCGGCGGGCGACGGGCGCCTGCGAGGTCGTAAGACCGTGCGGGCCGTGCGGTGGGGTCTCCGCGGCTGTCGAGGTCACCTCACGGTCTGTCACCACGCACACCGTTGGGGGACCCTCCCCGTCCTCAGGGGGCAGTCAGGGCAGAAGGGGCTCAGGCCTATCACTTTTTCAACCAGCGTGCATTTGACCCCCGCTACTTTTTCAACCAGCGGGTGCTTCCTCGATTTCGGCGTGAAGCTTCCGAAGCCGGGACGAAAAACGCACCCCAGGGAAGTGGTCCGGACTTCGGGCCGCGGACTGGAAGCATCATATTGGGGAGCGTCTACGCAGATTAGAGCACAGGGGGCCGGGTCCGCCGATCTGATTTTTTCAAACCGCGGCCCCAGAGGGGCCGACCGCATTCCCAGGGTTTTTTCCGCTCCACATCCGCTTTTACTGGTCCAGGGGACGAAGGAACACACTGCGGTGCAAAAAACATATTGTCGGAGGTATGGGGAAGAGGGGTCGAACGCAGGGGCCAGCCGAACCCCATCTGCCCTTGACCGCACTTGGGACCTTCCACCCTGACTTCGGATCCGCCGTATTTGGGGCGATTTCGTAGGTTGGGCAGAATCTACGCCCTACTTGTCATGCTCCTTTGATGCCGATGTCTGCCCTACTTTGCCGTCGCTGGTTCCGCCCTACTTCTGCGGGAATATCAGCCCTGTTTGTCCTGAGGCAGGTCCCGCTCTTCTTGTTTGCATCGCTTGGGGTGCACATTCGACAGCGCTCAAATCGGAAAACCAACCAAAACACGGCGGATCCAGAGTCGGGTTCCAGGTGGAGCGACGGGCCGCCCGGGCAGTGGGGCGCGTCCGGGTCGCAGCCGGGGCCGCTCCTGTTGCCGGGCCAGGGGCCGCTCCAGCCGCAGGCCGGGCAGTGCCACAGGGCAGTGGCCACATTGTGCGGTGAGTCGGTGGGGGTTCGGGGCGGCCGCACCGTCCGCACCTTCCGCGCCTTCCGCACCTGCCGCGCGGCAGGTGCCGCGCTGCCGCGGCCGCCGCGGCCGCAGCGGCTGCCATCGCCGAGGCCGCAGCGGCTGCACCTTCCGCGCGGAAGGTGCGGGAGGTGCAGGTCGAGGGTACACGGACGGCCGAGTTTCGAGGGGGTTCGGGATGACCGCACGGTTCTGGGACCTGGGTCGCTCTCCAACAATGTCTCTGGCAATGTGGGCCTCAGGGTTCCAGAGCCATGCGGTGACGGACCGTGCGGTGACGGTCTCTTGGGATTTCGAGGTCATCGCACGGTCTGTCACCGCCCAGTTTCGGGACCCCAGACAGCTCGTCAGGATGCAGTTTCGAGAACCAAGGGCCGAGGAGATTTCGGGCGACCTCGTGGTGATTGGTGGAGATCTGGAGGCCCTGTGGGCGTCATGAAGGCATAGGAGGATAGGAGGAGGGGTGACAGGAGGAGGGGACCAGGAGGATAGGAGGAGGGGGGGGAGGAGGGGAGGAGGAGGAGGAGGAGGGGAGGAGGGGGGAGGAGGGCCGGGGGGGGGGGGAAGTGAGGGGGGGGGGAACTAGAACGCACAGGGCGCGGGGAGGTGCAGTGGCACATGTGAGTGACGAGGCGGCGGCTCCCCCAGTGGTGGCCCCCCGCTGGGCCCTGCCTGGGCAGGAGGGCCAGCTGCCGCAGCGGGTGCCGGCCGAAGAGGAGGGCAACCTCTCTCTGCACTGGGCGGCGCAGGCCGGTCTCCAGTGAGCCGCTGGCCGCTGCTGCGGGGAGGGGCGGCGTGCGCAGCGGGCCGCCACGGGCGCGTGCCTCCTCGGACAGCTGAGCCGAGGCCCTGCCAGAGCGCGCCCTTGTGACCCTGTGCGTGCGCGGCTGCGCGTGCACCGCATCGCGTGCGTGTGATTGCCCTTCGCTGACGTCGGATCCGCTGGACCCTGGCCTGTGCAACAGCGCAGCAGGCGGGAGGCTGAGTGTAGGAGCAGCGAAATTCCGACGAGTAGTCTGCAATGGGACGGATCGTGATCCCGACTTCATCTTCGTCCGCGCGATAGGGAGGAGGAGGAGGAGGAGGAGGAGGAGGAGGAGGAGGAAAAGGAGGAGGAGGAGGAAGAATAGGAGGAGGAAAAAGAAGAGGAGGAGGAAGAGGAGGAGGAGCAGGAGCAGGAGCAGAAGCAGGAAGAGGAGGAGGAGGAGGAGGAGGAGGAGGAGGAGGAGGAGGGGGAAAATGATGATGAGGAGGAGAAGGCTTCCTGGGGCCTTCTTAGGGGCTTTCTGGGGGCCTCCTGGGAGCTTCCTGAAAGCTTCTTGGGGGCCTCATGGGGCCTTTGGGGGCCTCTTGGGGCCTCTCAGGCCGTCTTAGGGGATTCCTGGCCCGTCTGACGCCTATGGAGGTTGCCTTGAGCTAGGCCGCGTTGGTGCCCTCTTGGAGCGGTTCACGGCCGTCTTGGGGCCTCTTAGGCCACGTGAGCAATATTTGGGTCCTTTTGGGCCGACTTGGGGCCCTCTTAGGGCGGCTCTTGGGCTGCCTTGGAGTAGTATTGGAGGCCTGTTGGAGGCTTCTAGGGCCGTCTTGGTCGGTCGGAATGCCGAACAGGTGAGAAAAATCACAACTTTCCAAAAACCTATGGAAAATCAATGGTCTGGGCACCGCGGGCCCTCCAGGAGGGCCTCTTGGACCGTCTTGTGAGCTTCTTGTTTCTTGGGAGTCTCTTGGGCCGTCTTGGGCCATCTTGGCGTCATGTTGGCTGCCTTGACAGCCGTCCTGGAGGCCATGAGGCTCCCAAGAAGGCATCAAGGCAAATCAAAAAGCCCCCAAGATGGCCCAAGAGGCCACGTTGCCTTGTTGGAGAGCTTCAAGGACGTCCTGGGACCCTCTTTGGGAGCCCCTTGGGCGATCTTTGGGTCCTCTTGGGCCGACTTGGGGCGACTTGGGGCCTCCTGGCTGTCTTGGAGCCATGTTGGAGGCCTCTTGGAAGCCTCTTGGACCGTCTTGGGTAGTCGGAAGCCCGAACAGGCAAGAACCTCAAAATCTTTCAAAAACCTATGGCGTAACCGGGCTCTCGGGAAACGCCTCTTGGTGCTCTCTCGGGCCGTCTTAGGGGGCGTCTTTAGCCGTCTTGAGGCATTCGTGGGCAATATTGAGCCGTCTTGAGGCTCTCTTGAGAGGCTCTTGAGCTGTCTTGGGCCATCTTGAGCAGCTGTATAATCGTCTCGGCTGTCTTGGAAGCCGTCTTGGAAGCCGTCTTGGAGGCCATCTAGGCCGCCTGGAGGCCGAAAAGACCGCCAGAAAACAATTGCAGAAGGAGCGTGTTTTTAGGGGCGGGGGCGGAGAGGGGGGGCTCCCCTAAAACTCTACAGAACTTCCCAGGCAACACAACGCATTCTAGCACGCCCAGGCACGGTGGCGGACTTTTGCTGAGGCGGAAATTCCCGCCTTACTTGTTTGCATTGTTTGGGATGCCTTTCCGACATAAGTTCAAGTCGGAAATCAATCAAAGCAGCAGTGGCCGCCGTTGCGGCCGTGGCGGCGGCCGCGGCAGCACGGCACTTGCCGCGCGGAAGATGCGGAAGGGGCAGGTCGGGGGAAGGACCACAAGAGGTGGAGGAGGAGGTGGAGGTGGAAGTGGAGGAGGGGAGGAGGACAAGCTAGGTGCGCTCGCGTCATATCTGACGTCCTACCCCTCCCTCCCATCCCTTACCATGGCGCTGATTTTCTCTATCGTGTCGTAGCGGACCTGTGGCTCCGCGCGCGCGTGCGTAGTGGGTGGTGGTGCACGTGCGTGCGTGCGTGCGTGTGTGCGTGGTTGTGGTGGGGTTGGGGGTGGTGGTGTGGTATGTGTGGTGGTGGTGGGGGTGGGGGGTGGGGTGTGCGTGCGTGCTGGTGGTGGTGGTGGTACTGGTGCTGGTGCTGGTGGTGGTTGTGGTGGTGGTGGTGGTGGTGGTGGTGGTGGTGGTGGTGGTGGTGGTGGTGGTGGTGGTGGGTGTGGCGGTGCGGCGCGGTGGTGGCGGGCGGATGGGCGCGCGAGAAAAAAGCCCGCGCTGGGGCGAGAACGCCATCCTGAACGACGGAGGCCAAACACCGAACCGAAAATGAGGCCCACGCTGCAGCGGGAGCACGATTCGGAACGATTCGGGAGCAGAAATGAGGCCGGCGCCTCAACGAGAGCAGCATTTTGGGAAAAAATGACGCCGGCGCCTCAGCGAGAGTCGTTTCCCGGGATTGTCCCGGCATCTGTTGCAAAAAAAACAGTACCGGAGGGGCGCGCGATCACCCGAACGCCATCAGGGAAAGTAATCGGTGACAGCAATGAGCGGCCGCGCCTCAACGAGAGCAGCAGTTTGGGAAAAAATGACGCCGGCGCCTCAGCGAGGGTCGTTTCCCGGGATTTCCCGGGCATCCTGTGTAAAAAAACAGTACGCGGAGGGTGCGCGGCCACACCCGGACGCCATCAGGGGAAGAGGGAGAGATTGAGTAATTTTCATATTGAGTAATTGTGGAGGGGGGAGGGAGGGAGGAAAGGAGGAGGAGGTGCGCTCGCGTCATATCTGACAGATGCGGAAGGTGCGGAAGGGGCAGGTCGAGTCTCACAGGGGTAACGGGGCGCCCGAGACCGCCCGGCCCGGAAGCGGTCCAGCAGCGGTTTCGCCCGGGATTTTCCCCGTGATCTATGCGGGGGTCGTGCTCTCGCCTCGCTGCTGCCTGTATTTCTTGGCCCGGGCGGCCACGATCCCTGGCCCAAAGCATTTGAAGATGCGCATGGCCGTTCTCTCACCCCTGTCCCCTTTTGAGCCGGCCTCCTACTTCCGACTCGCCTCGTTCTCTTTGCTGCTGTGAGGGTGCTGTGCTAGGGTGTGCTTTCAATATTGTCGGGTTTTTCCTCGAGTTCGGTCTTTCAGGTGCCATCAAAAACGGGTCGGGGATGGAGAAACACCCCCGGGGCAGGGGTCAGGACCGAGGGGGCCGCGGATTGAAAAAAAGCACCGGCGGATGTCAGGGTTTGTCCAATCCTGTTATTGTGGTTGCGTTGTCGCGGAGCCAGCTGTCAGGAGTCGTGGTAGGCTCAGCTCCATTTCAGCGTGCCCCGTGCTGCCCAGATGTCAGGCGGACCATTCTCGTCCAATCGCGACGCTTTTCTTCCTGCCTCCAGGGGGCACTTGGCATCGTTCGGACGTGTGCGTTTTTTCCTCAGCGAGGACGATCGAGGAGCATTCTTGATCACTTGGCGAAAAAAAACATGCACGAAACCGCCAAAAACACAGGGAATGGACGTCCGAGCGATGACCAGGACAGCTGTCTCGCCTCTCGGCCCATCGGAAACGGATCCGGGATGAAGAATTGCCCCCGCCGCGGGGGAGACGGGACTCCCGACATTTTTGCTCGCGAGCGTCGCGGGCAGCCGCGCGCCGTCTAACAAGTCGTGAAAGTGCAGGCCAAGTGCAGGCAGCACGCGGAAAAGGGGGCACAACGGTGGCGAAAACAATGCGGCGGAAGCGAAAGAGCAAGAGACACGCGAGGCGGGACTCCCGACATCCGCGGGCATGATTTTTTCAAAGTGCGGCACCACAGGGCCCGACCCCTTCCCTGCGGCTAGTTTTTCGTCCCGGGTGCATGCTTGATGGCGCCGGCGCTTAGAGACAGCTTCCTAGGGCCGAAATCGATGAAAACTCGCCGATTGAAAAAGTCAGATCGTCGGAGACATCATGGGATCCCAGCACCGCTGCTGGTTTTCAAATCATTCAAGGCGACCGGCGGAGCCGCTCTTGCCGTGGCGCCGATACGCCTATATGCCGATGTGGTGTATCTCTGCCTCCGGGCCGATACGCCGATACACCGATATGATATATCGGCGCCGGTGAGCCGATATGCCGATACGACGATATGGAAGCCCAACTCATATCGGCATATCGGCATATCGGCGCCGGGAGGGGCGGCATACCGAGCCAATTCATATCGGCATATCGGCGTATCGGCATATCGGCGCAGGGAGGGTCGATACGCCAACCCCATTCATATCGGCGTATCGGCCCAGGGAGCGCCGATGGCGTCGAAACGGCCGCCGACCAGATCCCCGCCTGCGTATCGGCATTGGAGCTGGTGGGCGGGCGCACCGGATTGAGGGCCGTTCCTTTTCAAAATGTGGCTCTCGTCGTAGCGCCGCGCACATTCGTTTTAGAAATTTGTAAGAGCTTCACGGATTGATGGCGGTTCCTTTTCAAAATCCGGCTCGTGAAACGGCGCAGACTGATGCGGTCCGGGGCTCGGGTTGCGATGCTCTGCGACGCTGCCAGCTTTTTGCGGCGTCGGGTCTGAGGGGATGACGAAGATTACCAGCCTGGAACATATCTCTATCCCTATGTTGGGCATCGCCTCATCACGATGGCGATCTCAGGGATTTCCTCAGCTTCTGAGGGTATATCCCTAAGATTGTCATCTCCTTTTAGCTTGTCAATCTTAGGGATAGGGATAAGGTCGAGGCTGGTGAGAAGAGGAGTGAACCACCAACAACGACGACGAGGCCAGGCAGGGGAGGAAGGGAGGAGCTCAGAGCTGGAGGAAGAGGGAGGATACGCGGAGCGCACGGGGGGAAAAACCAGCGTGCCCGTCAGAGCGTGGAGCACGACTGCAGCACAACGAGGGAGCGAGAGGGGAAAGGACGGGGGTCCGAGGAGGGGAGACGATGCGGAGAACGCGAATGCGGGGCGGACAGTTCGAGGCCACGGCTCGAATGAATGAGGAAAACAAAAAA